TAGAGAAAGCAGGCAACAGTGCATTCATTTTTATTAAAGCTATCTATTATTGTTTCTGTTAATCTAACCAAATGATCTGTTGTCTGCCTGAATTTTCTAAATCCATTTTGGATTTCTTGTAATTTTGAGGTTACTTCTAAGTAACTCGAGAGTCTATTGTTTATCATTCGTTTTAGATTTTTTCCCACACAGCTGGTCAGGCTGATCGGGCGGTAGTTATTTGGTTTATTTGCTGGCTTTCCTTCTTTACGGAACATAAGTACGATCGCTTGCTTCCAAGAAACCGGGTTGTATCCAGAACTTAGTGATAGGTTAAAAAGTGCTGTAAGGTGTCCATACAGTCTCCGAGTGCCTTTTTTTTAGGAAGATAGCCTGTATGCCGTCTTCTCCTGGTGCTTTGTTTTTGGTGGTTTTTATAGATAGTTGGACTTCAGTTTCTGTGATTGTTTTTGTGAGCAGATGTATAATTGGGTTTTCTGTTTCATTAAGTCTCATATTTGTATTTTGTATGTTAACTGAGAATTTTGGTGTGTACATGGTTATGTTTTGTTTAATGTGGTTGTTAACTTTGTTGTAGAAATGTACATTCATGTCTGGTTCGTGGTGTTCTTTGAATACTTTTGCCTTTTCAGTGTCTGTGTATGCTGTCTTATTTTGTGTTTCTAGGGGTGGATAGTTACTGTTAGTGTTTTCTGTATTGGTGAATCGTTTGAGGTGGTTCCAGAACTGTTTGAGTTCGGTTTTATCGTTTAGTTGTGAGCAGAAATGATCCCAGCTGTCTTGTTTTAGTTCACGGACTTCATTTCTTATTTTGTTTCTTAATGTGTTTATTCGTGTTTTAAGTGTTGTATCTCGAGTTTGTATAAATTGTCTGCGTAGTTTCTTTCTTTTATCATTTCTATAATTTGTGTGTGAGGTTGCCATGTTTGTGTTGTTGTCGGTTGTTTGAGTTTAGATACTGCTGCCGTTTCTAGACACTCGGTGATTGTATTGCAATGTGCATCTATTTCTGATACTTTTCTTTCTGTAGAATATTGTCAATGATTGTTTGGTAGTTTATCCAGTTTGCTTTCTTATGGTTAAATTTTTCGGTTTCTATTAATTTATTTGTATGAGGGTGAGATTGAAGATACACCAGACGGGTAGATGGTCACTATCTATGTCTTGTCCTACTTGAAAATTTACGAATTTTCGACTCGTATTGAACATAGGCATAAATCCAGGATATCGCTGGTGCGTCTGATATATGTGTTGGGGTAGCATCATTTAACAAAACTGTGTTGGTATCTATTAGATATTTATACAATGTTCTGCCAGTTTCATTTGTTGATTTACAATGAAATATTCTGTGTTTACTGTTTAGGTCTCCTGTTATAATCGTATTTTGACTATGGTTATTTATGTCACATAGTATCTTCGTATCCAGGTTTTTATTCGGTGAACAGTAGATACCTGCTACCATTACATTAATGGCATTTGCAGTTTGTACATCTATAACTATACATTCATTTGTGAAAGTTATTTGCACTTCCGTTACAATCAATTCGGACTTATATAACAGGAGTATACCTCTGTTGAGGTCATTTTGTTTGTTCTATCTTTTCTTATAGTTGTGTAGCCTTTTATTTTAAAATCTATGGGTAACATATAAACAAGTTTCACTAATAACAAATATATCTGGTTTAATGGTGTTGGTTATACCTTCAACCTTGTGTTTCTTGGAAGCAAGTGCACCTTGGATGTTGAC